TTTACCTTTTTCCGATTCTCCTCCCTATCTCACCACAGGGAGGGGAGGAGTGAGCGAGCAGCTGCCTGGTACTTAGTTGCTGGCTGGGGTCAAACCACGACAATTATTCAGTCAACTGCTGCTCAAGCCCTTCTAAACCCTTCGACACCCAGATCTGGTCCCATATGCTGCTGGACAGGAAGGACGGAAGCACTGCCACCCCCCAGCTTGGCACCTACCGCAGAGGAAGCGCTTCATCACTTCACTGGTGGCAAGCTTCACAGCCGTCTGCCCAGAGTAAGTGGCCAGAGTGGGATCAGCACCATAGGAGAGTAGAAGCCACATGGTTTCCAGGTTGTCATTTGCTACTGCATCGTGGACAGGCCTGCAAGGACAGAAGCATTGGCAGAAAAAGAAGAGTCTGGAAGAGTTCGCGAAGCAATGCTCTGTTTTGAGTTAAGACCAATCTAGCGATGGTGGAGAGCTCACCCTGAAAAACACACCCTGGTCCCTGCCCCCCCCATTTCTCAGTGCTCCCCAGAAGTTCCCCTCTCACTGGCTTGCCTTGTGCCATCCTGCGCGCTGCAGTTCACGTTGGCGCCGTGCTCCAGCAGAATGTGGAGGATGTCGATCCAGCCTCGTGCACAGGCTTCGTGCAGAGCTGTGTAGCCAGCGTTGTCACGATGGTTCACGTCGCTGCTCTTTTTCTGCAGGCAATACAGCACTACGTCCTACAGGAACAAGAGCATTGCAGGCCTGGTTACACACAAACCCAGACAAGGCGGGACAGGACACAGAGCAGGAAAGGGCACCAAAACTCACCTTGTAGCCCAGGCGAGCTGCTCGCTGCAGAAGGGTCTCCCCTGCATTTTTGTTCACAATCAGCCGCCGAGCTCCAGGAGGAATGTTCTGGGCCGTGGGCGATTCGGGGGAACTCCCTGGGCTGACCCGACGGGACTTACAAAGTGTCCACAAGTCCTGGGGCTTCTTCAGAGAGCGCATCTTGGGCTGGTTCCAGCAGCCTTTCCCCTGGAAAAGAAAGGAATACAACTCCTTGGTACACGTGGCCATGGCTTACTAATGGGAGTCCCCTTCTCTCTCTTCTCCCCATGCGTGTGTCCCCTCATCAGTCCAAGCCATACCTTCCCCTCGTCACAGATCCCTGCCAGGTGTTTGGTTTTACATTTGCGTTTTCCTGATGGTTTCTCCAGCTCTTCTTGGACAGGAGAGCTGTCAGAGTGCTCCAGGAAGAAGCCATTCCGAAAGTCAGGGCGTCCTTGAGATTTTCGGGGTGATGGGGAAAGCCTGCTCCTCAGTCGTAGCTCTGTGCCTTTACCCTTCACGGACTCCTTCTGCTTCCGGTACCTAAAATCTAAAGGAGAAACAGGAATGAGGAGCTTCTGCAGGTAGAGCACCGAAGGCCAGCAACCCAGATCTCTGCCAGCAGGCAAAACAAACTGCCCGTCTTCCATGGCTGCACATCCAGAAATCCAGACCCACGGCAGAGCCACTGCAGTAAGGAGAAGCAGAGCGAATACACACATTCTCCCCTTCGGGGCTGGACTCAGCATGGACACAAGACACCCAGCGACAGACAGCGGTCCCGGTCTGAAAAGGCCAAGCCTACTGAGAGCTGGGGCTTGCACACAACTGACTAAGGCTTTTTCTTAGGTCTGACTCTCTGGCTTTCTCCACAGCTTTGGGCACTTTGTTTGGGAACAAAGGCTTTGTTTCATTTCTAGGTGAAGAGCTAGGAGATGCCCCACTGGGTTCAAGAGACGAAGAGGATAAACTCCAGGAACAAAAGTTTCTGTCTGTCAGGGACACTGCTGCCTCCAGTGCCAAGGCAGGTTTTCTAGATCTCCAGGAGCAGCATCTTCAGCTTCCATGTTTTGCTGAGACTCTAGATTCTCCACATCAAGCACCACACAAAAATTCCACTTACGTTTTGTTATTGCTAGCAAGCAAGGGCCATGGATCTTGCACAGAAAAATGGGTTTGGCCAAGATACCAAGGTAGAACCACAAAATCTCAAGGCAAGCACGTCTCAAGTTCTGTTGTGCTGTTCTGGTCTCCACATCTCGGGAAGAATGGAGTGGAAGTGGAGAAAGGCAACCAAAACAATGGAGGGGTAGAGAAGCCACCCTACAGGAGAGGCTGGGAATCCTCAGTCTGAAGAGGAGAAGGCGGAGAAGGATGTGACCAAAATTCGCAAAAATCATAAAAGGGGGGGATCCCGCTGAGTGGAGGAATCTTGTTCACCCAATCCTGCAGCACAAGACTTACGGGCACTTGATGAAATGAGGAAGAGATCAGTTTAAAAACAGACAGAAAAAAGGACTTTGCACAGCATGGAGGGAACATCAGGGCTCCACTGTCACTGGAGGTGGTGGAGGCAGATGTTATCAGCAGGACCACAAAAAGCGTTTAGGCAAATTCACGGACAACAGACCCATAAACGAGCTGTAGAAGGCCTGGGTAGGGCCAGCCCTAGTTTAGCTGTTCTGGATGCTGAGGAAGCTGAGGCGGCTGAAGTCCGGGAAGCGGCTGTGCTGGCCCTGCACAGCCTCTGCGCTTGCCACAGTCAGGAGAAAACTGCGGGCTAGACAGACCCTGACACAACGCAGCAAGCTGGATGTACTTAGGCAAGGAGCAGGAGACATCTCCTTGCTCTGAACAAAGTGGAGCACACCCACCAGACATGGTGTGGGGCAGCGGTTCTGACTTCCCACCACACAGAACACGGTACTTGTTTTTAAGCCCACGCACAACTCTCAGGCTGTAATTAAGCAAAGTTTTAGCAATGCTACTTGTCAAGAAGGGAGCACACAACCATCACTAGCCTGCCTGCTGTTTTGGAAGCAGTCACCGGACGGACATTTCTGCTGGGCTGTCTGTAACACCATCCTTGTCTTTTTTACGGCATGGCGACACTTTCACAGCTAACCCGGGGCAGTATACAAGGACTTGAGATGCTCCTTCTCCAATATCCAATTCCTTCTGCCAATGTGCAGGGGCTCTGTGTTCTAGAGCAAAGCTTTCAAATCTGCCCATCACTGTAGTGTTAAATACACTTCACCTGGCAGGATGCGTGTCTGTGCCAGCGAACACCTTGCCAGCAATGAAGAGCACCCTTGGGCTGTGGAGGAGACAGGCAGGAAACAGCACAAACCTAAGAAGAGTCGGGAATGTGGTGAGGAAGAGCCAAGTCTCTGACTGGTATGTAAAGAGAAAGGGGTAAAACACTGACACATCAGACAACACACAGCGAACAGGATGGTCTGTGCTTGCAAGTGACACACTCTGGCAGCCCCCGCACACCCAGCGTGAGGAAAACACAGCGACTCCATCACTCCTCCGAGCACAGAGGGGAGGTGGACAGCAGGCTCCTCTAGCCCAGAGGTCCAACGCGTGGCCCTGTCAGGGACTCGCATCTCTTTTCACTCTCTTCAGTATCCAAAGGAGACAAAGGAACACCAGTGGCTTCATGCTCTCATCGATGCATGCGTCACAACCGTAGCTGAGCAGCAGTGGAGCTCCAGGGCGTGCACTCACAGGTGAGGAACAGCCAGTCCAGCTGACCACAGTGGTCTGCCCAAAAGTAAGGCGGTACCGGTCAGCGAGAGGAGACACCACCAACGGATCCAAGCATTACCGTCACCATCAAAGGGATACAGCCTCCCTCACCCAAATGCCTGACCCGAAGCCAAGGGTCCTGGCTGTTTCTTAGGTGCATTTGATGATGAGGTGGCATTAGCAAGCAAAGATTGCTTGTGTTAACCCTTCTCCTGGACCGGATTTAGCCCCAGCGAGCCAGGTGTTTGTCAGTGGACTGCTGCAGCTTGTACCCAAAGACAGCGCAGATTCCTTAGCCAGTACAGGACACAGTGGTCTGCTTCCTCCAAACACGTGGGCTGGCCCCCTGTCCCTCCTCTGGCTGCCAGACAGCTTACAGTGCCACTGTAACACCCAGGTCCTCACCTCCAAAGCCAGCGACGGCTCTAGGCCACAGCTTCAGAATCCAAAGTACAGAAGCCCACCTATCTGAGGGCCAAGCAAGCAGTCCCTGAGGGAAACTGGCTTCTGGACAGAAGACAGACACTCTTAAGATGTGTGGTAAAGCTCCTGGAGAAAACCCTCCCGAACGCTGCTGCACTCAAGCCTCCTTCTCAGGCTCTGTTTGGAACAGGCGTCAGCAGGAGACAGCCTGAGAGCACCCTTGAACTGCGAAGATGCCAGGAAGCCCATCAGAAACTTTACTCCTGGTCTCACAGAGGCACCCAGACACTGCAGCAATGACATAAAATTGTGCCAGAGCAGAAACGTAGCTTGGGAGATCAGCTGGTGGGAGGAGAGCGGCCATCTCTACTACTTTTCACAACGCCTCAGCAGCATCTCAGCCTCTCCTGAGGACTGTCGATCTGAGCACCGATGTGGCAGAAGGTAACAGGTCCACATCCACTACATCACCTCCAAGAGAAAGGTCCGAGCGTACGGAGGGCTGGCAGAAGTGCTTCCCCCAGCACCGTGGCTCAGACATGCTCTTCTGCAGCCCTGATAGAAGTTACCTGTGGGACACTTGGACACAGCTACGAGCTACCAGCCAGCTGTCGGCACGCACATCGACACATTGGTGCGCTGCTGGATGAATCCCAGCCTTACTTCCAACAGCCTGAAACTGTGCCGGCGCAGACAGAGAGAAGGGACCGCAGAGACTGCTAAACCTCGGGGAAACGCAAAACACAGATTTGGTTTTGATCACACGGTCTGGGCAGTTACGGGAGAAAAGGCAGGAGCAGAGGCAGAGCAGGGCGCAGGACACAGGCAGGTGGCACAGCGTTCTCCTCCTAGGAAAGCTGCAAATACGAACCAGAGAGGGCGATTTCTCTGTCGCTTGTAGACACTCTAGTTTTGTTAATCCTCTCGCCCTTGTGCTCCCTGGTGCAAGCTTGCAAGTTGCCTTAATAAAGCCAGACAAAGCATAAAGAAGCCCAGTTGAATTGTGATGGCTCCATGTCCCTCTACTACAGCCAGGAATGCTGAACACTACTCCCAGGGGCCCATGCTTGTCCAGAAATATTTCACTGTGCTACCTTGTCTGATTCTCATTTTCCCACGCCCTCTGGCTTAATCTGAGGGTAAGATCAGTATCTAATTAGCCACAGAAGCTGCTGTTTCCTACTCCAAAATGTACTGTAAATATTTTTGAAAGAAGAGCTGATGAGTTGAAGCAGCCCATGCTGTGGACATCCAAGCCATTAATAACGATGGAGTTTCATCATGACAAAAAAACTAATCCAAAAACCCCTCAAAAATCCCACATGCAACAAAAAAAGCAACAAACCAAAAAACACCCATGTTGGTGCCCAGCTTGGCAGCAGAAACCCCTTCCCAGACTGTACCTGCTTTGGATTTTCGCCTCCTGTGGGGGTAGCCCACTCGCTCCTCCTCTCGCTCAGTCAAATATTCCCCTGTCTGGTATTTCCGACTTTTCTGTCGTCTCCTTTTCTTCCTTTTGATGTGGCTGTCGTCTTCCTCCTCCTCGTTGGGCTCCCACAGCTGCCTGGGTGATTCCACTCTCCAGGGCAGCTCCCGGGTCCTCCTCGTGTAACAGCTGCTCCTCTCGGACAGAGACCTGTCCCTGGCCCTGCGACTGTGGTAGCGTGATGTCCTGTGGGATTTTCGCAGCTTGCGACGTTTCAAGGATGTCTCCTCTTCCTCCTCCTCCTCCTCTTCCTCCTCCTCTTCGTCCTGATCCTCCTCCAGCAACGGTAAAATCTCCTGACCAGTCACATCACACTCTCCCGTCACACCAGCAGAAGAGCCAGCAATGCTTCCTGCAAGAAAGTGGGATTTCTAGCTGACAAAAAAGCCAAGAGGATCAACAAGAAAAACCCTGCAAGGCAGCACAGAAGAGGGGGACAAGGCCACGTAAAAAGGGAAACACTCACAGTCCCCCCAGGACTCCCACCTGGGTCCCCCGGCACCAACTCACCCGACTGACTGCGCGTCCGGCTGCTCAGCACCACCGGAATGAAATCCCGAAAGTTGTTCTTGGGCTTCTTTTCGAGGTAACCTGTGGGGAAAACCGAGCCTTGAGAAAACACACCACACATCTGTGCGTACACATCTGCTGGCCTAGGAAGGGCAGTCCAGCATCACGCGGCAGCTCTGTTTTGGATCCCAACCCGCTATGGGAAGCCGCTAGCTCTCCAGAGGCTGGTCAGCTTCAGGGGAACGGCGGGTAAGGCTGTTCAGCTTCAGGGGAACGGCGGTTTGGCCCCCCGGGCATCAGGGCGACAGGAACCGCTGCAGCCTGACCCCGCAAGAACACATCGCCATTCACAAGAGTACCTTCCTCGTGGCTGTCCCCGCGGTGCGCCGGAGATGGCGACTCTGTCTGCGGTGGCCCCAAAACCCTGAGGCTGTTGTGATCCTTCACCGATCCCAGGCCACTTCGGCCTTCTCGCTTGCCGAGTTCATGCGGATTGTCATGGTGTTTTCGCCACTGTGAACGGAGGACACAGACTGAAGCCTGAGCTGCCGACCGACCGAGCTGGAGAAGCAAAGGAGAAGGGACAAAACGCTGCCCCACACTCATCGTCCTGGTGCCCTCCAGCATTTGTGACACCCCAGACCCATTTTTGCTCTAGACAACCTGCCGACACGGGTACATTAATCCACCGCCAGGTAATGCCAAAGAGCATGGGTGGAAAGCCCCGTGCACTCAGCTGCCCTCCCCTGTCAGAGCTTCCTCCTCACCCCCAGCGACACCTGCCAGCCTTTGCCACAGCCCAGCAGTCCCAGCCCGTCCCACCCACCTTCCGGCCATGCACACTCCGGCTCCCCGATTTGCTTGGGGACTCCTCGCCGTCCTGGCCTTGGCACTTCAGTCTCTTGTGGGCCTGCCTGGCATCCCCATCATGCTGCCGCTTGGACTTGCAGCGCACACTGCCCTCTTGCTTGATTTGGCCCGCTCCTTTGAGCTTGACCTCGGCAAAGGCCTGGGGAGCAGTCCCAGCTCGCAGGCAGGTCACAGAAGTGAATGGCATGTCACACTCCACTCGCTCCTTCTTGACCCTGCACAGATCCACCTGATGCACGCACTGGAGGGGCTCTGCCGCTGGTGGCTCCTGGGAGCCTTCGCAGCCCAGCTCCTTGCGTTGACTCTCCGTGGGCGCAGCGGGCACCTCCGAAACCATTCGCAGGCCCTGCTGCCCAGCCGCGGGCAGATCATGCGACAAATACGCCGCTAACACTTGGTTTTTAGGCTTTGCATCCGACTGTTTGAGGCTACAGCTCCCCTGGGGAGCCTCAGTCTGTACGTTGCCCTCCTTACTGGCATCGGCCTCTGGTTGATCACACTCCTGACTCTTCTGAGGGTTGTCCGGCTTCCCCTTCCCTCCTTTCACATCCAAAGCACTGGTCTGAAGAGACGGACCTGCATCCAACGGGACTGGATTGGTCGGCTCCTCGTAGAGCTTGGGCAAGGCCCGGCAGCTCTTGCTCTTGGCTGCAGGTTCCCGTTCCTGAGGTGGGAGCCGGGGCAGCCCCTCTGGCAGGCTCTGGACAGCTGCGCTGGACTCTGCGGGCTGCACGCTCGGGAATGTCGGGAGCTCACCTGCACCAGCTGGCTTGCAGGAGCTATTCTGGTTCGGGGGCAGCTGCCCTGCTGTGGAGATGCCAATTGAAAGCAGGGGGGTTTGATGGTAAGGAGACCAGCCAAGAGGCAGAAGCTGAGGATTGGAAGGTTTTCTGGCAGGCTCTGGACAGCTGCGCTGGACTCTGCGGGCTGCACGCTCGGGAATGTCGGGAGCTCACCTGCACCAGCTGGCTTGCAGGAGCTATTCTGGTTCGGGGGCAGCTGCCCTGCTGTGGAGATGCCAATTGAAAGCAGGGGGGTTTGATGGTAAGGAGACCAGCCAAGAGGCAGAAGCTGAGGATTGGAAGGTTTTCCGTTCACAGGGCATCGCGGGTACACACTTCCCTGGCCGGGATTCCAGGTGGAGATGTCCTTGGACTGACACAAAGGAGCTCCTGGAGCAACTCTGCCATGAAGAAGTCTCCTGGCAGGATCCTGCTGTCCTTCTGCGCTGACCTGGCTGGCTTTCTTCCCACAGGGAACCCCAGCGCTGCGAGGCTCTCCCTGATCGATGATGGAAATAGGCTCCTGCTTGGGAAGGTGGCGCGGGTCCCTGTTGAAGCTCACGCCGGGGTCCTTGCTGAGCAGCAGCGAGGCAGGCACCGGATTGGCGACGCCGACGTAGGTGCCTGGGATGGTGCTGATGAGCGTGGTGTTCTTCACCCAGGAGCCCTGCTCACCGTTGCGCAGGAACTCGGGGAAGATGACTAAGGGAGGGGTGGTGCCGAGACACGAGGTGACACTGCTGCCCGTAGTCTGGGCCGTGCGCTGGGACTTGGACAGGACCGTGGTGAGAAGTGCTTTGCCGCTGGTGTGCACGGGGGTGAGGATGGGCATAGGAGGTGTTTTGCGTTGACTGGGCGGAGGCAGTTTCTGACGATTGGACTTGGAGGAGAGATCGAGAGGCATCTCGCTGCACTCTGGAGAGGAGATCATCTCACGCTCTAGCTGCGGAGGGGACTTCAGAGGGGAGAGCGAAGTGGCAGCCCCCGGTGCGTGGGGCTCGGGAGCTGCCGGGGCTCTGGCGAGCACGGCGGTGCCGGAAGAGGGAGCAGCGCTGCCGCAGGATGCGGCCAGCGGAGCCTGGCTGGATGAGAGGGAAGGGCCAGTGGTGGACGGAGGAGCGCCCTCGGCAGCAGCCTGGGCACCGCTTCCGCCTGAGGGTGAAGGGCAGCTAAGCTGATTCACCTCCACAGAAACCACTTTGGCCTCTGAAGCCAAGGGT